TTTTTGTTTGGGGTAAACACAGCAGTGTGATGTTTCTCTGCTCTATGCGTGGAAGTTCATGAGCTGTATCAACATGCTGACAGGTGGGCAAAGACGTGCCATATACCCTCTGTGCCAGTCCTGCAGAGTCAACCAGAAAGGCTTGTACTACTAGTACTTATGGAAGAGGCACTTGAAAAAGTTGTTAATTGCCAAAAAAGTTTAGTTTTGAAGATAAGAAAAACAGAGACCTGAATGACAGATATTTTATGACTTTCAAATGAAATAGTTGGTACTAGAGGAAAGCTCACTTGAATAGATTATAAAGGCTCTCCCATTAATTTTTGCTGTCTTCAATTCAAGCATGTGTGTGGAAGTCTAAATGTTGGTGAGAACCTATGTTCTAGGTTATTGATAGCATTTGCTGTATTAGCAAGAGAGTTGCTGGAAGTCTTTCATGTAGCTATACCTATAGACAAGCTGCAGTGTTGATGAACTTTACAGATAGAGAAATTTCTCTGAATTTTCCTTGCTAAGAATAAAATGATGCAGCTGATAGGTGTTAGTCTCTGAGATGGCATTTTGTACTAAATCTGTCACTACTGAGGGGTAGAAACTGAAATCACTATACATTTAGTATTTTCCCAAATAATTATATAGGTGAGAACTTGGTTTCACTTCTGTTTTTAGTTTGCATGCATGAAGAACCAATGAACATTTAGACTAATAATCACTATTGATAAAAAGTATAAAGAAAGCTTGCTTGATTGAGTACAGATTAGATGTCTTTGGTCTAAGCTGTAAGAAGAAACTCTAGTTGGATAGTTCAGATCACCTAGGATGTTGTGTGCACAACGTAAAGAAACAAGGCAATTTTAAAGTTCGTGGTGTCTTAAATTGTGTGTTTATGAAGCCCTCTGAATGACTGTGTTTGACTTTTGTTGGTTCCTCTGCTAAACAGCAGATGGGGAGAGTATGCGTTATTTCTTGCTTTATTGCATTCACACTCTGTTAAGACAAATTGATTACAATATTTTACTAATTTTGAAATTTTATAGTTCTGAAAGTACTAGATATTGCCTAGAGTATACTGTCAGAAGCTGTATAAAATTTTTATCTTTTAGAACTACTTTGTTTTGAAAACTGAATTACTTTTAACGCTTCACACTCAAGATGACAAAAGTCATCTAATCATTGCAATGTTTGGGTATGTGTAGAACAGTTAACTGCAGATTTATGAAGCTGGACATGTGCTACAATTAATGATGGAGTCACGAAAATATTACAGAGATGAGGATAGCATTTGTGTAACCTATGTTTTATTCCCTGCAAAGCTTTGTAGTCTTAGAAAGTCATTGCTCATTTTCAAAAATCTTGTTGGAAGTACAACTCAAAGGAACCAAATTTGAGCTTTGAAACAGTGAATGCAGTCCTAGCAGAAGGGAAGTATAAACAGATATTGTTAGGATTACTTACCCGCTATTTCGCCCCTGAATTATGCTCTCCTTATAAGTAGTCAGGATTGTGGCTGTGATAATAATGACATTAAAGGAATGTTTTAGTCATGAGCCAAATTCTGTCCTTATGTCAATGATAATTTCAAGTAATTCAGCTGTCAGACCAAATCTGGTTCTGTGACTGGATGAACCTAGGAATGAATCACAGGCCTAATTTGAATAAGTAGTAAAACTTCCATATGGCTGCAGCTTCATTGAAATGTTTCAATGGATTTGAAATAAATAACATGGATTAAAACTGGATGCTTCTTAGATCAATTAGTTCAGTTTAATGCCTTTATGTGCAGCCGTTTTCTTGCCAGATAGGGTTTCCAGCTACTGGTTTACTTGTTATCGTTCTGTTACTGAAACATAAGGCTAAGTGTTTCTAATGATGCTTAATTTTCCCATGGAAATAAGCAGTCGTGCGCAATTCTTAATGGAGACTTTCCTTCTCTGAATGTTTTTCCGAGGTAGCGTTCAGCTGTGGGATCTAGTTTCACTCTTTGGAACTTACTAACCTATGGAGGTTTGAGGGGAAAGTGGTTAGTTCTAGATATGTCAGCTTTTCAGAAGTATTTTTCTGAATACAGATAATTGAAACCATCCTTCTGTATAACGATTCCAGTATCAATCTCAGAGTGCATGCATACCATGTTGTAGTTTTACCAGTTAGATGAGTGATGCTTTCATATTTAATAAAAGTCTTTATGTTGTTTTGTCATCAACAACAAAACAGCCTCTTTAATTGCATCCCTCTCTTCTGAGGTCAGTTCTGTGTGGTCATCTACTTTATGAGGAGATTCTGAAAAAAGGACATACAAAATTGTGGAGTGCAAAACAATTGTTTGTTGACTAATAGTCACAATAGAGTGCTAGGACTGGTAAAAAAAAAAAAAAAAAAAAACCCAAAGGATTATTATTGCCTCTGTCTCTAGTAGGTTTTCAATTCCAAAATGGTTACCAGTCTGATGGGAAATGATTGATTAATCTACCCTCTTTTAACTTGAAGCCATTACTTCTTGTCCTATTACTAAACTGCCTGATGAAAAGAACATGGAGAGGGACTCTCTCTGTAAGAGAGAGATAATAAATCTCTTGATTTATTGAGCTACTAAGTATCGCCTTTTTGACAATTATGTATGTATATTTACTTTTGTTTTCAATCAAAAAGTTCAAAAAGAGTCTTGACAGATTGATGATCAGTGTGTCCTTAAATGGATACTAGTTAGGGATGTGCCCTCTAACGTCAGTTTTGGATACTGGAGGTGCATGGGAAGGATGAATCATAAGAAGTGGCTGGGCTTACATATCTTCACTAAATAGCCTGATGGTGACAAATGTACTGAGCTAGATGGACTGTTGGTCTGACTCATTCAGACATTTATTATGTTCAGCATGCTTGTAGATATTTTGAATTCACTGACTTCTTATGTCTTCTGTCTCTTGTGGTTTTCCTTGGACTGAAATACTAAAAACTTTACTTGAACAAAGTTTGAAAACAAAAATATTTTACCTTGCCCTAGCCACCATCCCTGTTTTGCTCCTGGCTCTGCGAGTAAATAAGTATTTTACAATGAATGGAAAAGAAAGAGCAAAAGATACCAAGTTGTCCTTCTCAAATCATTTCTTAATGGCTACAGTGAGATGGTGGGAGTAAGAGACAAGATCTGTACGCTTGCTTGGGGATTTGACTGTACGATCTCCAGAGTTCCCTCCCAGCCCTTATGATTCTGTGCTTCTGTAGATAGAACTTTGTCATGGGGAAGGATAAACAGCAGTTTGAGCTAGCAGAAGAGCTGCAGTCCCTTTGATTAGGAGACATCTGAATTTTTGAAGTGCTGAATAATGAGAAAGGGAGTCACTTCCCTTCAAAGAGAGGGATAAGTTACATTGAAGTCTTTTAGAATGGTGGGAGCAGTCTACTTGATGATTCACTGAACAGAAAGAGAGCCACTGACACAACTAATTTTTGGTGTCCCAAATTTTATTTCCTTGGCTTTTGTTACAGACAAAATTTCTTATGTCCAAGAAATAAATGTGTAAAACATAGTGAAATGATTTGCAGTGACATTTCAAAAGTTGCCTTTAAAAAGAAAAAATGTTACCTGGAAGGAAAACTGTCATCAATTTCATGTCAGGGTTGTTCTCTTATCTGTTGACTTGTAAATATAATTAAAACTGAAGAATCAGTTCTTTCCATACACTCTCACTTGATTATATGCAACTGAATCTGTGGAAACCTAGTGCTGCAGCTAGTGTAGTTTATAATGAAGCAATAAATTTAGCACTTGTATCACCTTTACTGAGATTGGCAAAAACTTAAATTACTTCTAACCTCAATTCTTTAATTATCATCCTTACTATCATTGCCTGCAATTGAAATGTGGATATCTATTATAAGACAAACAACAACTTGGTATAGAAAGCTTAAACCTACTACATAGTATTAAATCAATGCTAGGTTCACCAGGAGGTTACAATACATTCCTTCAGCCTGCACAATCGAGCTATCTTATTACTTTCTTATTACTTTCTTATACAACATCAGTGGTTGTAATAACTCCTGCTCCAAAACAGACAGGTATCCATTATTTTTGTGTTTGAAGTCTTTATTGGATAAAAAGGCTTTGCTGAGTTATGTTTTATGGGAAGCTGAGTTACTGGAAAATTTAAAGTGTCTTTTATTTTAGAGCAATAATTAGTTGCTTTCCTACTGAAACACAGTTGCAATTCTCTGCTGGCGCACACTCATTTTCACTGCAGCCTGAAACAGGGCCCAGTTAACTCAGTGAAAACCATTAAATTAACATCAGTGAACTTTGGATCAAGCTCCTAATGAATGACTTATTCATTTTAAAGACCTTCCTTAGCTTTAATTCGATCTTACTAACTTCAATTATAGGTTTTCTTGACTTAATCTGTCTTGACACTTAGAATTTGCTACTGCAGGTATAAAATAACTAAATGTTTCATTTTCTCATACTGTTAATTATCAGGACTTTTATATGCTTCTATAGACATTTTTGTTCTCAGACTGTTTATTACGACCACTGTGCTTTAACACATAAGTAAGATATAGGTCTTCTACACCTAACACCTGTGTTTTTCTTCTGCGGCGTATTCAGTAATGCAATTTTTCAGTAGATCTAATAATGAAATACATATTTTTTTAAAAGCTCGATTTTATGGACTACTACCGAATTTATATTTAAAGGATTTCTAATACAGTTATTCTTTTGCATTTTAAAAAAAACATAGTAAAATTAAATATCTTCTCTTCTAGATTTTTATGTGTATCTTAAATCTATTATTTCACAGTATATGTGAGTATCTGTATATATTTTCACAATTTAGAAGCAAGGGATCATAAAAATTAATCTTATTTCTTAAAATCCTAATTCTTTTGTGGAACCAAGCCTTTACTCCAGGAAGCAGTTTCTGAACACCAATAGATGGCAGTGGGTTCTCATGGCTAATAATTGTATACTAAATTTTTTAAAAATCTTTTTGCTTCGTTCCTAGGTGAAATGTCAACCAAAGTACCGAACATTAAACTGAAAACTGATCCTCAGGATCTGCAGATCCAGACCTTTACAGTGGAGAAATTACTGGAACCACTTATAATTCAGGTATTTTAACATTGCAGAAAAGAAGTTAGATAGATATATAGAGAAATGAATAAATTTGAAGAACTTAGGCTAAGGACACTATTGGGAAAAGCATACCCATGACTCTTCTGAAACTGACTTGGGAATTGTGCAGAGAACATCTTCTTCCAGCTTTGGTAATTCTTAAAGTCGCTTCCTTTTTGCAAATGCTATGTTGTATGGTATAGTAACTATTGCATATTTTAGCTAGCCTTTTGCACGGTATTATCTATGGACATTTAAATGTGGAGTATGCTACAGATTGAGTTCAAATCATGAAAAGTTTCATATTGTAAATAGTGGATGGAGCCTTGAAATCTGTAGGTGAGTTTCTTTACGTGAATTCTTGGGGGGTGAGAGGGGAAACAAACTATTCTGTTTTATTTTAGAAGAGATTCCGTAAGAGCTGCATAATTGCTGTGTATTGTATAAGCATATCTCAGCACTCTTCCTTCCAACTAAAGAAAATTTGAACTGGGAGATTTGCAGGTTTATTGATGAAACTTTCATTTTAGGAACAGTTCTGCATTCTTGAGTTTTATTTGAAGTATTCACCAGTTCAATATGCTGTGCTTAAAGAGAGAATCTTTAACAGACTCTGTGTATATTTTTTATGGATTAGAAATCTTTTATTTTTTATCCAGAGCATTGGCAAGGACGTACTTGCACAAGACTTGACATGATTCTGCAAATACTGTGGGTAACTAAGTGTGTTGAAGGATCTCTACAGAAATATATTATGTGGAAAAGAACACAGAGTGCATCTTCTATTTTAAATCTCAATTTCATTGAATACTCTCTTCATTTTATTTAGTAATGTGCAAGTACCTGTTTTTATTTAGTCGATTGCGTGTATCATGAGTTTGTCTGTCTATGAGTGTTCTTCAGCCTTGTCAAGATGCTGTATTTCCTGTCACTGCTGTACACTGCTTCTGAAGTATTCTTTTTCCTGGTGCCTGGGGATATGTTTACACGCCAGTCATTGCTCTGGCTGAAGTTTGTGTAGGTACAGTGAGCTACAATTTCACATTCAGAAATTTTGCTAATATGCAAAGAATACTTTGGCCAACCTTACAACCTGAAAAATGGTAGTATAATGACTTTGAATTAGTTTCTGTGATTGGTTAATATCTTTTTGAATTCACTGAGTAATGCATGTTACAAGAGAATAACTTCTTGTTAAGTAGTATATGTTAGTAAACAGCAAACAAAAATGTAACTGGGAGAACGGTTAGGTAAACAGAACATAACTGGGCTGAAAATCCAGTATTCTGGCCATTATTTTGTTTATAGTAATGCAACAATTGGGAATTTACAGCTTATTGAAAAAACAAAAACAAAAAAATACAAACCCCAAATGAAGCAACAAATAGTTACATATACAAAAAAGATATATAGTTTTCTATTATTTCCATTGTATTATAACTGAAATTTCTCTATTAAAAAATAAATAAAACTATCATTTTAATTAAAACCACAACTGCTACTGTTGTACTTGAATAGATACTAAAAGGAAAGTATATTTTCCCCTCCCATGGGTCATTAATTGGCATCTTTCGACTGTGTCAGACACTTTGGCGTATGGTAAATTTTGTTTCTCCAGGAACGCGCTCCTTTTTACACACTGCTCTGATTGTGTCTTTCATTCTTTTTTCTGGGAGCCAGTCTTCTGCAGACTTGTTATCTGGGCTTGCCAAGGACTTGTGACCAGATACAAAGGAACTGTCAGATTATATCTAAAAAGGCAGCACATGATATGAGTGGAGAGAAAATGAATACAGCAGTGAAAGATGAGGGCTAGAGAGTGCCAAATATGTTTGGTGTGATGATGCTTACATGTATGTGCATTTTCATGTCAGATTAGTAATTTTTTAGAATTGCCCTATATGGTCTAAAACCTAAGAAAAGAAGTGCTGATAATGTGTTATAACAGATATTCTTTGAAGAAATTGCTTTAAAATCTATTTAAGTGACATAAGTTTATCTTTAATGAAGTTATATTTCCCCTTTTGAAAATTTGTCTTTGCTGATTTCATCCATCCAGAATTCTATTTATTTATTTATTTAATCAAGTGATTGTTTTGGAAATATTTTTTAATTGATCTTTTCCTTCTTTATCTATTTGTTCCTTCTAGAAAATTCTCTTCTTCTGGAAGTGATCTTTTTATCATGATCTCAATTTAAGCTTTTATTAACTAAGCTCCTTGTCACTTCTTTTGCCTTCCCTTTATTATGTATTTATTTCTGCATGGTATGATTGACATATAAAACTTTAGTAGCAGCTCAGTGCTTTGTTGGAAGTTCCCAAATTCACCATTGTATAAAATCAGTTTTAGAGTGATAGGCTTGGATGGGTTTAGTCTGCATTCTGTAGGTCAGCTTGTGCTACAACATTTTTAAAAGCGATGAAATGTAAATTTTTGCCTGAATCTTACTGGATCAAAGAAACCCAATAAAACAAGCTGATATATTTAAAAAATATTCTGAAATATTGTTTAAGAAACTGTTAAAAATTGAGACTTTTTCAGCTCAAGAAGAATATGATTTTGACTTTTTTTTTTTTTTTTTTTACACTCAACCGTCTTTGTTATATAATAGAACTGTTTTGTAATAGAACTCTGAAAGACAAACTTGCATTTTAGAAGGCTGAGGAAGGACAAAAAAAAATTGAAAAAGCAAAAGCAGAGATTGAAAATGAATATTAATTGAAGGATGGTTAAGATGTTGGACTGGCAATAAATGGAAATTGATCTACAATTAGAAAGACAATCATAGCAGTTATAGATAATACAATAGGACTGCTCTAGCCTGATTCACTTAGCTGCTGCTTTGAACATAATTTAACTTCATCTTGAAATATATGTTCTAATGTACTGAGTAGTCTTTTAGGACCATAGGAGCACTTACACGTGTTTATGATTCTTTGAAGTCTGTTCTGGCTAGTTATATTAAGACTTAGGATAGTAATTTGGTTAATGGCATCAGTATGAAAGGAAACTTAAAAACAACAAGTAGCCTGTGCAGAAGTCATTTTGGAAGTGACATTGCTAGATTCCCTCTCTCTTTGCTGCAATTTGCAATTGACAGTGGTGATCACTTTGAGACTGAAAATAGCACAACCCGTTGTTTCGCATACAATCGTCTAACTTGGTAACTTCTCCCTTCCAATGAAACAGTATCCCTAAATAATGATGTCTAGGGGATTGCAGGGCTGCCAGTATTGTTGCATCTTTCTCTTGGCATCCCAAGAAGTGACCTGTCCTAAGGCAGTGTGTTAAAATATTGCTATGCAGGGCTCTGCAGAGGGAGGAACCCACATGTGGAAAGTGGCATAACTGTGTTAGTATGACAAGTGTTATACTCCTGTACTGTACTCTCATGGGGACATACTGCTTGTTGCCCTGTGCCTAGAGTAATGGAAAAATTTTTCTTTAATCTTTCTCAACCCCCTGCCCTCGTGCAAACGAACACTAGAAGGGATTGTCTTTGTCCATGGCTTTTATTTTATTCCAGGTATTTTGGGAAAAGTATGTTTGAAAGGAAGGCTTTTAGGTACAATTCCCAATCATAGAATCTACAATTCCACGATCAAGGTTTTCCAGTAAATACATCTGAAACATTAAAAATGAGTTTTGTCAAAACTGGTACCATTCTAGTGACAGCTGCTCTGTTGGAGGTTGGGGACATGGTTAGACAGTCTTTCCATAATTCTGGGCTCTTATCAGAGATGCCCTCTGCCATGGAACAAGTAATGTGAGGCAATCAGAAGGTCACAAGGTATTTTCATTTGCACTGCTGATTTCTATTGGTATGCTAGTGCAACGTTTACTCATAGTTAATGTAATAGAAAAGTATCCCCTTCTTTATCTCATTCTCAGAGACCAAAGCTTGCTGAATCTCTTTGCTAATTATACTAAGAATAACATTTAATACTAGATATAAATTTGCTTCTGTAGTGTTGTTGTTTAACCCTGCAGGCAGCTCAACACCACACAGCTGTTCACCCACTCTTTCCAAGTGGGATGAGGGAGAGAATCCTAGAGGTAAAAGTAAGAGAAATCATGGATTGAGATAAAGACTGTTTGCTACATGATCTAAAAACTGTGTGTGCAAGTGAAGCAAAAGGAGGATTTGTTCATTCATTCCCATCAGTAGGCAGATTTTCAGCCACTTTTAAGACAGAAGAGACGCATAATAATGTAATATTTTCTTTGGAAGACAAATGCCTACACTGAGTGTCTTCCACTTCCTCCTCCTTTACCCCAGTTTTTATTAATAGGCATGACAACACATGGTATGGGACATACCTTTGGCCAGCTGGGGTCAGTTGTCCTGACTGTGTCCCCTCTCAGTTTGTGTGCTCCGACCTTGTCTCTGGCAGGGCAGCATGAGAAGTAGAAAAGTCCTTGGCTCTGTGTATGCACTGCTCTGCAACAACTAACGCAGTCAATGTGTTATTACTGTTATTTTCATAGAAAATCCAAAGCACAACATTGTACGAGCCTCTGTGAAGAAGCTTAACTCTATCTCAGCCCTGACAAGTAGCAAAGTAGTGCTAGACCTTGTCCCTGTTGAATTTACATTAATTAAAATTTAAGAAAGATGTGACTGGATGAGATTAATATCACTTCATTCATTCACAAAGGAAACACTTTCTAACTGCTTTTATTTTGTGATCTATGCAAGCCCTGTAAAATGCAGATTAGCCACTTATTTGGAGACTGTGTCTGAAATTCTGTCACTGTCTCTTTATTTGTATGTATACAAACACTTAATATATGTGTGTACACGTATACTTCTCAAATATTTCAGAGTTCTTCCTTACCAAGCATAATTTTTTTTATATATTTATATTCTTTGCACGCATATAGGCTATGGAAATTTTATGGCTGTGAGAGAGAGTTGAGTTTTACAGAATACTTACAAATGCATGTGTTTTAAGATTTCTTGTATTATATTAGTTATGAAAAATAAAGAAAGTAGAAAGGCTTTTATTTAATCCCATGTCACTCATACTGACAAAACTTTGCTCACACAGAAATGATTCACTGCTGTTTTTAGTTCTGTATGGTGAATTTACTTTATACACAGTGCAACTGATTAAGCAGTATTTATTTTTATGAGCAACACTTTTTTATTCCCAAACATCTGACTCAGACAAGGAGTGGTTAGCATTTGAAGCAGTGGGGAGGTACTTCTGCCATTGTCATTGGACTCCTGAGTTCATATGTTCTTTCATCAAATGTCTAGGGGTTGCAGTTACTTACCTAAATGGTTTTTCAGCAGTTATAAACTATTTTGTGATTGATGCTTTTAATTTTTTTTTAATAAACAAAATTTTCATACTCAAAGAAAACAATATTTTCATACCTTAACTACTGCAGTGTTAACAGTTTGTCTTTTGAAGACTGGTCTGGTTCTGAATATAGCATTAGAAGAATTACTGCACAGTGCCCTAGCATTCAGTATTTGTGAATCACGACAAAAACAAAAAACGGAGCAATTCTACAAGCCTAATAAATAATGGTAATAACTGACAATTACAGATTTGCCACTGTGATGGCATATGGACTTGAAAATATTCTTTAAAAACTTTGGTCTTTTAGTAATTCTTCTAAACATCTTAAGTATTGTAAAATATGGTATTGATTTCCACTGAATGCTGGGAGGTTGAATACAGCAATAAATATGTGTGGCGACATAGAAGTAACTGAAATGCAATTAGGCATAAGCTAGATTAATGGGGTGTGTTGCTCTGTCTCACTTTTTTTTTTTAATTATTCTGAGCCTGATAATGCTGTCATTTTAACTGGGTGTTCTGTCACTACTTTGCAACCTGTATTGACAGTGGATCAAAAAAGCATGCTATATTTGTTACTGCTTAATTCAGTTCTTTGCGTAGGATCATCATTATGGTTTTGTATTCCTCACTGGGATTTTGTGTTGGAAAATAAAGTAGTTCTTCTGTATCTATTAACTTACTTGAGCCGAGAGGTACTTATCAAATTTTAACTTGTATGTGAGATCAAAAGCTGACTCTGTTAAGTAACATTGGTCCCTTTTCCATAGAAATTGTACTTTTGATATTTCCTGGCAGTAACAGTGGAGATGAAATGTCTTAGAATTATGAGCTTTCACCTGCAGTAATGGTTATTTTTCTTACTTTTACATTTGTTTCCTTTCTTCTTCCTTAAAAAATATGTGAATAAGCAGTACAGATATTTTACATAAAAATGAACTTACATTAAAACTCAAAAAAATAAATAGTTAAGATGTCTATAAGACTTCTTAATATATTTTTTTTTGTGACAGCTTCATTTTTAAAGTTGTATTCTGACTTCCTTATATCAGTTTATAATCTTTTCAGATATCTCTTAAAATATTAGCTAAAGCTTCATTAAATGCTCTAGAGATAATATTGTAGGATTTTATTTTTTTATTTTTTTAGAAGATATTTAAATTCCTAACATGTTCTCTAGGAGCTGGCTGGTGCATAAATATTTTTATTTACTTTCCTTCCTGGTTTATCAGAATACCAAAATCCTTTTTAACAAACTGATTCTGAACTATCTATATTGATGTTCTTCTTACGACATCCCATGGCTGTTGGTGTTAAGTGGCTGGTCTTAGTTATCTGACCCCAAATTCCACATAAATGACATAAAGGTCAAGACTTTTTTTCTTTAAATGATGGATGGGCTTGCAGAAATGCTTTCTAGAGGATGCTTTTTATTTACTCCAAAGGTACTGATTCATGGAAAGCATGAGAGTGCATGAATTCATGAACACTGGATCTTCTCCTCCTACACCTGTGAAGAGAGCACTATTCCACAGATGTGCTCAAACCAGTCTCTGTACTGCAGCCATGAGCTAAACTTGCCTGGTGGCCTAAGAAATTCATACACAACTCTAACTTTCCTTGCGCAAGGTTGTTGTCAGTTTTCTTACTGCACAAATAAATAGGCTGATTCAATGTGTGTGGAATGCTATTTAATGAAATGAAGCAATTCACACTTAGAAAATGTGTTCATTGAGTCCCATAAGTAGGAATGTACTTAATTCTA